ATCATAGGGATCTATAATCACAGACATCTATTTTTGTTTGTTTTTACCGGAATGTTTAAACTTATCTTCAGATTGTTTCTATTTTGGTATAATCTATGTCTCATTAGTGAACCCCATTTTTCATGTGTGTTATAGAGACTAGAAGGTAACAACTCCATGAATGCACTCTCCATAGTCAATGCTACCAGGTTTACCACTATTCATTTCTTTGAGCTGGGGTGGTGGTGAAAGGAAGCAGCTTAAATTCCTTCAGAAGTGTCCCATACAAGTAATCCATAATGCTCATGCCTTGTGATATTAAATGAAATATGTACAATCCACTCCACTGATTAACGTACCTCCTTCCTAATTTTCATGGCCCAACAAATTGTCACCAAATGTAAGAGGAGGAGGAGACAGCAGAAAAACATACCTTCACTTTTTTTTTGTTTACCCCACAGCTTCAAGAAAACTGAAGGAAGAAAATTGAGAGAAGCTGAGAGGATGGAAGGATAAAGCAGGAGTTGCAAATATTGGAGGGCAGAATAGATTAGCAGATTTTTTTCCCCTGAGGTTCTGATTGCCTCTGAAAAAAAATACTAAGTGTAATCTAAACTAATTTATAATTTTTAGATTAATCTGAAATGAGATTCACATAAATAGAAATGTGTACTCCTGAGATAGGTTGCAACTTTTGTGTATGCACAAGTCACATTGTTGAGACAATTTTCATGTGGAAGATGCTTTTCCTTCCTGGGATGATGACCTGGTTAGCTACATAAAATCACAGGCAATTTGGATTGCAAGTTAAGAGAATATTGGCTGATTAAGTTTTAAGAAGCATTTTGTTGAACAGAAGGACTAAGGGTTACATGATAGCAGTGTTCCAATATCTCAGGGGCTGCCACAAAGAAGAGGTAGTCAAGCTATTCTCCAAAGCATCTGAAGGCAAGACAAGAAGCAACAGATGGAAACTAATCAAGGAGAGAAACAAGCTCGAAATTTCTTGATATTTGGAACAATTAGTCAGTGGAACAATCTGCCTCCAGAAGTTGTGAATGCTCCAACACTGGAAGTTTTTAAGAAGAGATTGGACAACTATTTGTCTGAAATGGTATAGGGTTTCCTGCCTGAACAGGGGGTTGGACTAGAAGACCTCCAAGGTCCCTTCCAACTTTATTATTATTATTATGGATCATCGCACAGTCAGCCAGATGTTCAGACTGGATTTGGCATTTTGTCTACCTATCGAGTCCTTACCCAGGACCTGGGATAGGCAGATGTGGATGTTTGATGGTATTACAGATATCGTCGCAGGATGGAAGCAGTTCCTAATAAGGCTGCCTTTTGCAATTGACTAATAGCGAATTTGTCAATGCCAATGGTGTTCAAGTGGTGCTCCCAGTTGTTTTGGGATTGCACCCAAGGAGCCTATCACTATTGGTACTACCCTTGCTTGCTTTTGCCACAGTCTTTCTATTTCTATTTGTAGGTCTTTGTATTTTGTTATCTTCTCCAGTTCTTTCTCTTCTATTCTGCTGTCTCCAGGCACTGCCACGTCCACTATCCAGACTTTTTTGTCTTTCTTATCGACAATTGTTAAGTCTGGGGTGTTATGTTGCAGGTGCTTGTCTGTTTGAATTCTGAAGTTCCAGAGCAGTTTAATTTTATCATTTTCTATGACTTTCTCTAGTTTTTGCTTACAGGCAAATGATATTTTTTGTAGATCTTCCAATGCACCATTGTTGCTACTTTGTCATGCCGCTGCTTGTAGTCAGTCTGTGCAATCTTCTTGCAACAGCTTACCAGGTGGTCCACTGCTTCTTCAGCTTCTTTGCATAGGCGGCACTTACTGTCTGTTGCTGTCTTCTCAATTTTGACTTTATATGCATTTGTCCTTAAGGCTTGGTCTTGTGCAGCCAGAATTAGTCCCTCGGTCTCTTTCTTCAATTTTCCTGCTCTTAGCCGTTGCCAGGTCTTGTTATTATCTGCTTTCCCAGCTATTTTTTTAACATATTGGCCATGTAGTGCTTTGTCTTCCCATGCCTCTATTCCAGTGGTTCTCAACCTGTGGGTCGGGACCCCATTTGGGGTCGAACGACCATTTCACGGGGGTCACCAAACAAGGCTGTCCGCCATTTTTCCCCCTTTTCTTTGGCCACGCCCCTGGAACCCGGTGATGTATAAGTGGTTGGGGGTCACCACAACATGGGGAACTGTATTATGGGGTCGCGGCATTAGAAAGGTTGAGAACCACTGCTCTATTCTGTTCTTCATTTGGTCTTTCTTGTAGGCCAGTTTGGTCTTTCCAGTAGTCAGTATTATTATTATTGTTGTTGTTGTTGTTACTGTTGTTGTTGTCATCATCATCATTATTATTATTTACATAGTCCTGTATATTACCTAGACTATTTAAGTAGTTAGTCATGCATACACCTGAAACTATGACTCAGAATGATTATGCATGAAACAACTAGCCATAGAAGTGGGAACTAATACACTGTTACTAAAAGTGATGGATAAAAAGAACAAAACACAAATATATTCTCACTTGCCATTTATTGTTAGAAATTGCCATGTAGAGACATTTTGGGTTGAGTAATGACCAGATTCGTGTGGCAAAAATGATAACCAACATATAGCATGAGGAGCAGTTGCTCAAGGCATCTGGGTACGTCTGGCCTAATTTCTATGCATCTGCCACAGCCTCTGCTGTTCCAATCCCACAGAACAAGTTTTGGTCAATCTCCAATTCTTTTCTCGCTTTCAGGAAAATCCAATTCTGAAATCAAGGTGGTGAGAATACTAATAAACAAGGCTGTCTCCTGTTGTTAGTGAACCTTTAACATGGTGCTGCTGAAGCGACCCTGTTTTATCTGGGAATCCTATAGCCATATCTTCTATAACTTCTGTTATCACAATCTCTGTAAGGTGCCCCATTGCTGTTTACTTATTGCCTCTTCCAATCTGTTATGTCTCCTTCACTCTTGTGCCCCATGAGTAGTTATAAGTATGAAAGTTAATGTGGCATCTTTCTGTCCCATCCTGTAATATGTTTTTTTTTAAAGGTCCGCATAAGCTTCTCCCTACTTTTTTGGTTCTCTCCCCCAACTTTTAGCAGATGCTATAGGCCTGGCTTAATCATCATTCTACAGTATAATCCATAAGTGCCGTGCCTAGAGTGGCCAACAGCAATGACAGCAAGTCATAGTCGGTGCGGCTCAGACTTTACTAGGAATGTGGGAAGCAGGTTCATCAGGTCAAGGAAGGGAGAGAGCCACAAGAGGAGCAATGGATAGAAACAGTGGAAAGCAGTTATTGACGCAGCAAGAACTTTCCTACGGAAGCACCGGACAAGGGATTGATGCCTGCTATGGCACGTTTGGCAATGTATCTTTATTAGCACCAGGGCTTTCAGCAGATGCCCCACCATGCCCCCTGAGTAATGACAATGAGTTGCAGCAAAGTTTCTCAGGCCAGGCATTCAGTGAATAATAATGCCCTAATGTGCACTCAACTCAAGACTCCCCCCTCTTTAGACATGTGTACAATTTTATTCTTTCAGGCTTTCAGCGTGCATATGCTTACCATACACAGAGACAGATGTGTAGTCTGTGAGAAACTGGAAGTATTTAAGGATCTATTGTTTGTTGTTGGAGGTAGTGAGAAACATCATCCATGATTTGAATACTGATTCATTGGACAACCTGGCGTCATCTTCTCTTGATCAATCTTATTTCACAGAATGGCACCAAGGGACTCAGAGAAGTGGCACTGAAGCACCAATACCTAGAGTTTCTTAAATATTTGTAGGACCCAAACAGCTATATACAGGATGAGAAAACATGCCACAAGGAACAACTTGTGCATACAAGTGATAAGATGATGTTGCAAAATACCAGTGTTGGGAAATAAGTTAAGAGCTGTAGGGACAAACACTCTGATTAGCCTTGAGAAAATGTTCTTTCTTGTGACTTTGTGTACCAACTCAGGGGTAGAGGCAGGATGAAGTCTAGATGGTAAGAGCTATAGTAGATATTTACATACATACTTGAAATATGCTTCTTGGGCTGGACTAAATTAAGCAACTAAGTAAACCATTATCCCACCTCTCTACCCACAATGCACCTTTAAAGCCTCAGAATATCTTTAATGCTCTCCACGATCCCAGAATTGTACTGAAATCTTTTGGAGTTGCCAGAGTCAATGGGGTGCAGACTTCCAAATTAGGAAGAAATTATAGTCTTCAGTAGTATTCATGCTACTGTCCCAAACTAAGGAGCAATTCCATTCTGTGGCTCTATATTCTTTTCTAGTGCCCTGAAAGAAATAGAGCATAAGGCATGTTCTATGGTTTCCGAGAATAGAAGACATCCTAGCATCAGTGAAAAGACATGTTTTGGAAGTACCAGCACGAGAGGTATAGGAGAGAATGCAGGCAATTGAAGTGGAAGCACTATGGACACTGAATATTCAAAGCATATAGCATGCCTGAAGTTCAGAAAAGGAACACACATAGCACCCAAAGACAGGAGGTAAGGTGGCCTGTTAAGGAACAAGGCAGGAACATTCAGTGAAGGGGTTATAACTTGGTTTTAAAAATTCTCCTGTTCCTTCAGCCTACCCCATCCCAGGTCACTATGTTGGGTTGCTATTTGCTGATCACTTGTCTTCAGCTAGTAGTTGTAGTCAGTTCAGATAATGAGCCCATTGAGGACAGAATTGGAGTAATAATCAGGGGCCATCACGTCTGCAGGAACTCACAGGAAGTGCCAATATTTCAGGAGATAACAAACTCAGTCATAAAAATTGAGCTCCTTCAGGGGTAACAGACACTCAAATCAAAGTCAGGAATCCTCTGGGATGCAGGATTTCACTGACCATTGTAAATCCCAGGGGTGTCGTGATACTCCTTGCTGGCATCTTGACACCCCCCCCCCGAAGGAGCTCAGAAGCGGGTGCTCTGATAGCGCAGCCTGCGAATCTCAGAGACTCCATCGTCCCGGCAGTACAAGTCCCTGCCGGGACTTTGTGCCAGTCACCGGCCCCCTGCTCCCCCACCTCCCCCAGCACTGCTGCTGCTGCTGCTGCCTGAGCTGGAACTGCTGCAACGATCTTCATAGATAGAAATTTCAATCTGAAAGCAAGAAGATAAGGATACCAAACAAATGCATGAAAATCCTGCTCCACCCCATATTCAGCTAAGGAGGTCCTCTCTCAAATACATTTTCTCCACTGGAACTCAGTGGGTCACCTTGTTGTTGGCTAAGCAGGTATGGAGACTGTCAACTCTACAATGAGCATGGCTGCAGCCATTCCCCCCCCCCCAATCTATGTCATTCATGCAACTGTGCTCTCTTTCCTCAGACCACCTTTTGCTCTTTCACAGACACAGACACAGACACACAGGGAGCCAGGGAGGGAGGGAGAGGAGCAGATCACCTTACTTTTTTTCTGTTCCCAAGCCAAGCTACTGGTTAGTGTCTCTTCACATACACATCACAGCCAAATCCCAAGCTGGCAAGCCAGTGCATAGTTAAGTCTTCAGTCAATGTGGAGTCCATCTTCCTTTGCCCTGCTCTTCTGTAGTGCAAATAACCAGGAAGAGCTACAGCACTACAATAGTCTGTCCACTTCCTAAGAACTAATTTCTGGATTTATGTAACATACTTGAAACCTTAGCAGCTGCATGCACACAGTATGCTAACCTTAATTTTAACTTAATTTCAAATGAAAATGGCTTAACTTAACAATTTAAATGTATTTTGCATGGGAGAAATGAGCCAAGTTGGGGTAACAATAGCAAACACAAAAAGATGTGTCTCTGAAAGATGCAGAATTTACTTAACGCTTCATTTCACTTCATGGTAAATTAGATGATAACTGTGCATTGTGTAAAATGTACACTGTATGTTTTATTCGGCATCCATTGTTAAAGGTAGACTTGAACCCAAGACTCCCGCATTATTCATAGACCACTAAACCCCACATTGTTGTGCTCATGAAGTCTTCTCTTGTATCCTATTGTGAATGTGAAACCCTTTGGGAATCACTATTATTATCATTTACAAAGATTGAAAAATAAATATATAATATCCACATGAACCCAAATCTCAGTAGAGATAGAAAAATAATAACATAGGTTATAATGAGTGTCTGCAGCATAAATCAGAGCTAGCTACCTAGTTTTAGATGATAACCTATTCTAATTTCATCCCTGACTTCAACCAAGAAGGATACAACTCTCATGCCCCGTTCCACTGGGTCAGTCAGCAGAAGCCCTCGTGGAGCATAGATTTTCTCATTCTGCTCCTGGATATACTTGGAGATCTTCTTCAGAACCTGAAGAAATAATTAGTGAGCCAATCAGAACCAAATGAGTACCTGTTTCATGTTCCCAGATAATACATTGTACAAATTTGAGAAGAAGGTATATTAAGAAAAGTTCCAAGTTCTCGTAGAAATCGTGCACTATTATAAGAACGAACAAAACAATCATCCTTGCACTTATTTATCCATCATATTTTATGTTCACATTCATGATTTTAGGGACTTTCCTCGGTTCACCCACCCACCCAACCCTCCCTCCTACCCTCTCTCTTCTGCTTCATAGTGCAGTTCTTTCCATGCCTTGTCAGATGATAGTCATCTTCCTTCTGAACAATAATACCGTTTTGGAATCCTATTAAAATGTGTCCAAAATAGCACTAAAACCTGTGCCAATATTATCCTCTGAAAATTGTAAGTTTCGTCACACAGGTTTTTTCCCAAGGCTGACTTAAAGTGCTGCCATCCAGATCTGTGCAAAACACAAAGCCAGAGTGAGATAGGACAGATCCATCACTACTAAAACTCACCTCTCTCTCCAGCCACCTTGCAAAGATAGACTGGCAGCAGTTTCCCTATTGTCTAGTGACATTTGTGGGATGTAAGTCAACCAAAGTCCAGGGAATCCACACCTATTCTCCTTAACATACCCTGTACATGATAGATAAGGGTAACCTTCTTCGCCAGCATTTTGTCTGTGGCAGGATTGTATAAAGTTTATTTTATACTAATGTAGACATCCATCAGTAAAATAATTGGATGGTAGCACTAAGTCAACTTTGGGGGGGGAACCTGTGTGACAAAAGCTACAATTTTCAGAGGATAATATTCTTTTGAACTATCTACCTAGTACAGTGATGGCGAACCTTTTAGAGACCGAGTGCCCAAACCACAACCCAAAACCCACTTATTTATCGCAAAGTGCCAGGGCCACATCAGCATTGTGGTGCCCTTAGGGGGGGCATGGGGGTGTGGTCCACTGGGTGGGCATGGCTGCAGTTGTCATGGCAGACTAGGTGGATGTGGCTGGGGTGGACATGGCCACCTTGATGTTACTCATGGGGGGACGCCTGTGGGGGCCAGGCAGGGTTGGGGGAGATCCAGGGGATCTCTGGCAGGTGGGGCGGTGGGCAGGAGGCCCAGCATAGATGTGGGGGAGGCACGCAATCCTAGCTGGTACTGGGGGACTATGGCGCCAATGGAGATCTGGCTTTCCCTGTTCGGGGTGGCCTTTGGCATGCTGGGTGTGGGCGTGCTCTACCACTCCACTTGAGCTTGCTAGCTGGCTGTTTCTGTGCTGGGTGGGGCTGCCACTCCAGGCAGCGGTGGCAGCCTAATGGACCTGGCAAGCTGCTGGCAGAGGCAGTGCCTGTGCTCACAGAGAGGGCTCTGAGTGCCACCTCTGGCATGCGTGCCATAGGTTCACCACCATAGACCTAGTATATCCATAAGAAAGGCTGAGTGCAAAAGAACTATGGTGAGCCTTTGAACTATGGTGCTGGAGAAGATTCCTATGAGTCCCCTGGACTGCAAGGCGATCAAACCAGTCAGTCTTAGAGAGATCAACCCCAACTGCTCTTTAGAAGGCCAGATCCTGAAGTTGAAACTCAAGTACTTTGGCCACCTAATGAGAAGGAAGGACTCATTGAAGAAGAGTCTAATGCTGGGAAAGATTGAGGGCAATAGAAGAATGGGACAACAGAGAATGAGGGGGCTGGATGGAGTCACTGAAGCAGTAGGCGTGAACTTAAATGGACTCCAGAAGATGGTAGAGGACACGAAGGCCTGGAGGAACATTGTCCATGGGGTCGCGATGGGTCAGAATTGACTTCACAACTAACAACAACCTAGTATATGGAATTTAACATCTGGATAATATAAATGGATTCTCTGTGCTCATGGATAAAAGATTGAGCTTGCAGCACTGGAAAACTAAATGTATGGATCCATTTATTCAATGGATTGAAGATCTGATTGCACTTGCCCCTTATGAGTTGATTGCCCATAGATGTAGATTTTATATAGACAAGTATGACCATATAATGGGACTCATTTATACAGAATACAGTAGTTTAAAAAATCCAGCTGTATAAATGTATTAGAGATATATACATATTTGCAGGATCCAATCTGGATCAGTCACCAGGACCAGAAGTTTAGTCTTCCAAGCTTTTGGACTCGAACTGGAGCCTATCCTTAGGGAACTTCTCTCTCACCAGAATACATATACATATATATATATATACATATTTGAATTAGCCAAGTATATATAAAATTGAAATTGTGTATTGTTATAATGACATTCATTTTCATTTTTGTATTTCTTTCCCTTTTTTAGAGCACTTGTTATGTACATAACTCCATTTTATCCTTGTGTTTGGCTCTTTTTTCCTCTTAATTGAAAAGCAATAAAACTTACCTTTTAAAAATATGCCCAGGGATTAAATCCTAGGACTCTTTTGTAAAGAACCCTGAGTTATATAATTAGAAAAAGATTGCATGTTATGCAGTGCAAACAAGGGCAAATTGCTTGGCCACTGCACATTATTTATTTCAATAACTTGTAAAATTAAAATAGCTAACTTGATATTGTTTCAACTCCCTACTTTGGGAGCCATTAATACAGCATAATAAACCATTGTGATATTAATTATTGTAAATGTTCTCCAAACCTTCTCATAGTGGGTCTCCATGCAAAGGAAGATGAAATAGGCTGTGGCACAGGCCAGACATCCCTCCAGATAAGAGCTGCCCCCAATTTTCTCAGCCTCCGCATAGAAGTTGTTCAGTGTCTTCACTGTTTCCTCAAAAAGTTGCCGCTCAATCTTTGGAAGGGGAAAAGAGAAGAAATGACATAACAGTGATATGCAGCATGTCATTTAATGGCTAGTGATGTTCTCCTTTATGCAAATGCCAAAAGGCAGAACAGAGACATTGATAAATCAAAATAATTTATGTTGTAAGAAATATCCATTTATGTGCGAACATTCATATATTTTTTTAAAGAAATCACTCTTCTACTGTGTATTTAATGTGTGATTGCTACAGTTAACAGGTTAGGAAAAAACCTTCAAAGTGTCAGATTTATTCACAACTCTTCAGGTACTCAACCCCACCCTTTTGTACTCTGTTACCAGCTAACAGCAAAACTGTTGTCTCAGGTGTTAATTTTATAGGAGATTATGGTCCCTTGGTGGGAAGAATATAATGTGTTTTAACGGGGTGAGCTGCCTAGGTGAGATAGGCAGCATCTAAGTTCTTTAAATAAATAAAGTAAGAAAGTCATTGAAACAATCATAGAATGTTAATGGGACATCATAGCTTAATCTGAGCTCCAGTCTACTCATTGGTTTGATATAAAAGTTTGCTATAGTCTGTAAGCCAGGAGAACCATAGGAAATATCAGATTTTACCCGACTGTCCAGTTCAGGGGGGAATTTGGTCTGGAATTGACAGATGGTCCCATCACTGTAGTCTCGCTGTATAAAAACCTTGGTAGCCAATGAAGCGCTCCTCCGCAGTTCTTGGAGATTGTGGACCTGAAGAAAATTAAAACCGGGAGGTTACAATGTGGGAAAATCTTACTATACAGTAGTACTGGTGGGGGGCTCACACCGTATCCTGATACTTGCAGATCAAATGCATGGACTTTTTTCATTCCTGGAGTGCTCTATGCTTCACTTTGTTCTTTTCTTCATTTTCATTCAGAGACAACACATAATTTTTCCTTAATCACATTGCATACTAAAGTCCTCGCCAAGATAATTTACATACTGATAGGTTGCTTTGTTTGCTGTCTTAGGGCATACATGCTGTTCTATAACATAGTAAGGGAACAACTCAATGCACTCAGCATCACAAAAGAGTAAGGGTCTTAGAGCATTTAATCTTATACATTTCAATTGTTTAATTAACCATTTAAGAATGATCAGTTGTTCTTGAAGCCACTGAAAAGCTACTTAATTATCAGGATTGTTTAAGAAAAAATATTAATGGCCTAACTACCATAAGTAGACTCAATGATTTCTGCTTCCATGGAGATTCACACCATCAGCACCATTCAGATAGATGACCATTCAAATATGTATGTATGTAGTTACTGATCATTGCACATACTGTAAATAGGAACAATTGGAACTGGGACAATCTCTAACTAGCACTAATATCTGCATTAAAATGCATGCTAATGGGATATGGATAGAATGCTGAAATTGTTTTTACATGATGTTTCATGAGTCATTTGGCACCATCTTCAAAGTGGTGTTCTTTTTGTATAAGCTTTTCGGGCTATTATCTGCAGGTGCTTCTAATTGTACTATATACTTCAGTTAAAAATTGAATTCACACATTTTAAAAGAAAATTATTATTTTATTACCTAATTATTTAGATAAATGTCTTCTTAATTAGTCAAAGTATACTGAAAATAGTCTAACAGATTAATTATATGTTTCCATGCTACATCCTCCCAAAGCATTAAAGCATCTTTTATGAGGCTGTAATACAGAAAACCAATATCCCACTATTTCTTAATTCTAGGTTTTTTTCCCATTCAAATAGCACACACACAGAGTGGTCCAATTTCAGTTCTGATTGGGATCATCAGAATTTGGTTTTCATTATAATGCCTTTCAGCATGTGAAGCTGAAATAATACGCTTTCCTCAAATCACCCAGTAAGCATCATGGCTAAATGGCGATACAACTGGATTTCAATCTCAGTTATTTATATTTGAGTCCAATGTAAAGATCATTTTCTCATAACACACTGAAATATGCTTAGCTATCTACACTTAGACTAATATATGATTATTAAGTGGGAAGGGGGCCTTTTGTTAATTAAGGTCACAAAACAGAAAATAATTTAAATTAACAAGTTGAATGAAGATGTTCAAGCATTATGTTACCAAAGATGATATGTTACTGGATACTTCACATTAAAAAATAAACATATGTTTTTGTCTCTATATTTGTACACATAAATAGCCTTCAAGTGAATACAACTTGTTGAAATACAATCAGGATTAAACAGGACAAGCCTAAATTAATAAGGGTTATTTCCTTTTAAACTTCCCATCATCCATAGAAGGAAACCTCTGCATTGTAGGAGCTCTTATAAGACTCAATTTCTTAGCCTGTGGTTGCATTAAAAGCATTGAATTGGCTAAGGTTGTGGATTATATCAAACTTGGAGCAGATGCAATATGATTTGAAAATAGGATGCATTGAATTTAATATAAATTTATATAAAATCCATTAGCATTATCATGACATTATGGCTATTTAATCAATTCATAGTGGGCAGTTTAAGAAATATTAGTGTTGAAGACTCAGTTCTGCCTTTAAGTCTATTTCTCACATTGTATGTTGCTTGGCCCTAGGAGTCGAAGTGGTTCAAAATGAAATAACAGGTTATGACATCATAATGTTAAACAAAAATGGGCCAGGGAAGCTATTTTTATGTTCTTAAAGGTCCAACAAGTTTTATTAGTTTAAATATGAGATCATCCAGTTCAATAAAACTTCCTAAGTATTTAGAAAACTGTTCGCAACTTAAGAGATGTAACTGAAACAGAAATGACTAAATGGTTTAATGATGGGAAAGTAGACTTCTCTAAAGAAATAGACAAGATTTACAGGATAAATTCAACATATGCAGCCAGAAGAAAACTGCCAAGAGATGTTATGATCCATTTTATAAGAAAATATATTAAAGAACAAGTAATTCAGAAACATTACCACCAGAGATTTAACATTTTTGGAAAAGAGATTTCTATTCAGAGAAATTCCAATTCCAATATTAAGGAAACGCAAAGAATATTTTTTTCCTGACAGATCTCCTGAAACAAAATAATATTCTCTTTCACTGGGATAAGCTGGAAGGGGTTATCTTTACCTTTAGAAATCAATGGTATAGACTAAACTTAGTCCTTAAAGCACAAGATTTTTTGGAAAAACATGAATTGGAACTACACTATTTTTCAAAAGATAAAGATCAGAAAGAAAAACATAAAAAGAGGTTTGACGCTTATCAAAGACAGGCTGTGGAGATGGGAGCCTCAGCTGGAATCCCTGGAACTTCCTCTTCATAATAGATGGATTGCAAGATTTTGACAAAAGAGAAAAAAGTTATTTCATTATTTGAAAAAAAGTGAACTATGATATAACACATTTGCAAGAAACTTGTATTAAAGAGACTGATAAAAAGTATTTAACAAATAACATCTTGAGCCTGGAATTTATTTCTGGTAACTCAAAGGGAAAAAAATGGGGTAATGTTGTATATAAAACCCCAACTACATCCACATTTATTGTTTGCTGATGATCAAGGCAGGTATGTAATTGTGCAAATTGAATTACAGGGAATAAAATCTATTGTGGTGGGATTATACACCCCACATCAAGAAAAAGCCAAGTTTTTTAAACATCTGTCTGAACACTTACTGTTCTATTCTTTTCAGTATTGGTGTGTAATTGGAGATTACAATGGGGTAGTCACCCCACAATTGGATAGATCAGGTGATAAAGGAATTAAAGAAACACAAGGGAAACTGCCTCAAACTGTTTTCAAGCTGACCCATACTTTAGGTTTGATTGATGTTTGGAGGTGTAAATGTGGACTAACAAAATATTTTACATTCTTTTCGGAGAGACACAAATCCTTTTCTAGAACTGATACGATTTGGATTGCAAAAAGTCTGCTTCATAAAGCAACTAAAGCTATTTTTTTTCCAAAAACTTTCTGGCCGTACTCCAGAATGCACTAGAACAGGGGTTCTCAACCTTGGCAACTTTAAGACTTGTGGATTTCAACCCCCAGAATTCCTCAGCCAGCTTTGCTGGGAGTTAAAGTCCACAAGTCTTAAAGTTGCCAAGGTTGAGAACCCCTGCACTAGAACATCCTAACATACTTAATCAACTAAAATTATTGCAACAACAAATTTCTTTGTTGACTGTTTCAGACATTGAAAATAAAAAATATACAAAACAGCACTTTTTTGAATATGCAAATAAACCAGGCAGATGGTTGGCATACAAACAAAGAAAAGAAGATAGAAAAGAAGTTGATAACCAAGCTTCATGAGGGAAATAAGACTTATATGGATAACAAAAACATTCAAAAAAATTTTGGGAATTATTATACCAATTTATATAAAGAACAAGAAATCTCTTTAGTTACTATGGAGGAGTATATAACAAATAAAAATCTTCCTAAATATCAGAGAACTACAAACAAATTTTGAATAGTCCAATAACAATTTTTGAAATAATAGAAGCAATTAAAAGAGTTAAAACAGGCAAAGCTCTGGGACTAGATAGCTTATCACGCAGATTCTATAAATTTTTTGAAGATCAACTACTTCTGATGAAGGACTTAATGAATTCTATCTTATAGGGAAACCTTGTACCAGACTTTTGGAAGAATGCCTACATTTCTTTAATACCCAAAGATGGACTGGATTTAATTTCTGTGAAGAACTACATGCCAATTTCTCTCCTTAATAATCTCTTTTATTTGAAAGATTTTAAAAAGTTTTACAGGATTATATACCTGAAGACCAGTGTGGTTTCTTATCTAAAAGACAACTAAAAGATAATGTAAAAATAATTTTGAATACAATTGAATATTTACAACGTAGCGACAAACAGGTTGCATTAGTCTTTCCGGATGCAGAAAAAGCTTTTGACAACTTGAACTGGGCCTCTGTGTGTAAAGTAATGGAAAACATGGATTTTAGATTGGGCTTTATACAGGGCCTGAAGCCCATCTATACACTCCAGAAAGTTTGAATCGTGGTGAATGGAGACTTGGATTTTGAAATTGATTGAACTAGCAGAGATGGTGAAATTAACTGCTTTGATTAGGGATAATGGACTAGACCAGGCATGTCAAACTGCTGGCCCACGGGCCAGATGCATCATACCGAGACTGCACCCACCCCATTGCCAGCAATGGGGAAAAAGTTGTGATACATCACGCAACATCACATGACATTGCGAGTTTGACATGCCTGGACTAGGCAGACTGCAAACCGTTTGTAGACTTTCTACACCCTAAATATAATAACAGATGGTTAACAGAGGGATTTGAAGATTAGTGTAATGTTTAGCTCAACCTGTTGACTGCTTTTTCTTCTTATGTGTGTGTGTGTGTGTAAAAGGGGGGGAGAATTTACTGCTTTTTCTTTCCTTTCAGCACCCAGTCAGTGTGCTTATCCTATATATTAAATGTTAAATATTAAACTTAATTGATCACTTTGTTTCATTTTGTTTGTTTTACTGCTTTGTATTTATTCTCTATGATAAAACAATAATAACAACAACAACTAACAGATATACTAAATTTGAAAGCAACCCTGATTTCTCTCAACAGAAATTGGACCTGATGTTTATCTTATTCTGTGCTTAAATGGAAAACTTCCAAGATCAGAAATTGAAGACTGAAATTAATTACTTTAGGAGTGGAAGAAAATTGAAATTAGATAACTATAAAAACTACCTATTATTTTGTAAATGGGGTGATGGTAGTGAGAGAGAATTTGTGTACTTTTGTGCTTTCTTTATTTCATGGTCTAAGGATATCTCACTGAGTCTTTAACAAGTCCTTTGTGCTTCTTGCCACCTGCCCTCCTATGCCCTCAGGAACTGTTGCCCTTCCCTTAGCAACAAACAAGCTTTTAGCTATTTCTGCTCTGACTCAGATTAATTCTCCTGTTCAGGGATGCATCTTTTATTGACAAACAGGATTTTATTGGTTGAAATGGGAACATGGGAAATATGGAGCAAGAGCAGTAATGGTTGTGAAAAAATCATTGAAGGATGGGGTTCTTGATAGGGGCTGACTTGAAAAGAGTTTTGAAACCAGAATATAGCACCATTAGAGAAAACACTTCAAAAATCTCTTTCCCTTCTTCTCCTATAGCATTTTAATCTTATTTTAACAACAACAACAAAAATCATATTATGGACCTGCCTCCTAGTCCATAATTGATTAATCTGAATAATGGAGCTTCCATTTATTCTAGAAAATCATAGCTCATGTATCTCTTTCTTTCCTATTTACAAAAGGTATAACTGAGACCAGATCCAAAGCATCAGACATAAAGCAACCTTACCCAACCTTGTTCCCTTCAGATTCATTACACAACAATAATATCAACCCACAAGCATGGCTATTGACCGGGCTGCTAGCACAGTCCAACTGAGGAGTGCTCCCCTGGGCTTCTGATTTTCTGTCTATGTGTGTCTCCCATGTGTTCAGGGAAATCCATTGATTCACAGCTGAGCAAAGGGCCACCTGGTTCTCTTAACAATTGCCTGCTTTGGTTCCAAGGGAGGGGGGCTTGGAAATCAGGCAATTAACTTTGTAGTGAGTGATGGTATTCTTAACCCTCAGAGACCATCAGGGGTTGTTTTTTTACTTCCTTTCTTTATTTAACCTATACAATTGCTGCAAAAAATCAGTAACTCAGGAAATGCAAGTGACCCTTAGCACAGCAAACCAAGGAACATGGAGCTACAACAACCAATAACAGCTAACATTAGGGTGATTGATTTAAAGCTTCCTGCAGCATCAGAGAGAACAAGCACAAACCAGGAAAAGCTAACTGCAGCTCCAATGATTCGGCAGAACCATAGTTCCAGTACATGTGTGTTCTACCTTGCCGGCGTTGCTCACCTCAGTTGCCATGTTTCACCAACGTGGCTCAATGCTGTTCCTCCACACGGGAGACTGAAGCTGTGATGATAGCAATTTGGTGAGGAAGAAGACTGCTTTCCCAGAAAAGGCGCTGTCCCTGGTGTTATAGTCAGAGGAAGCGCTCAAATCTCGAAGCTGCTGCCAGCGGGGGCGGAATTTAGTCTGCTGCGTTGAGGTGGCGCCTGCGGTGGGAAATAGACGCAGAGTGTGTGGTGCTATCCTTGGTCCTGAAACTTGCTATTTGAAAAACAGGAACTGGAGGCAAGCATCTCATCTAGCGTTGACGACCCATTTCCCAAGCTGATTCCTCAGCTGATAATTCAGCTTCCTTGCACAGGCTGGCTCAGTTAGTGGCATCATAGGGGGAGGGGATCAACAGCTTTAAGTGGGAGCTGCACCCTCCCTTCCCTGCATCCCCATGTTGGAGGGACAAGATCCAGCTCGAACTCAGGGGAGGGACTGTGAGAGGTGGAGCTGCCAGAGCAAGGAAAAGAACTCAGCTGACGTTTATTTCCTGCTTGTCTTGCAGGAGCTCACAAGCAAGCAAGCTGCTTGGCAGGTCTCTTCACCCTTATTTCTAAGGCTTTGGATTGCAGTGTTTCTCTGGAAAGTTCTGAGACTGCTCCCACTTCCAGAATTCTTTTTTGATCTGGTGAAAGTCCAATACCAGCTGTCACATAGCTGCACTCAGTGCCAAAGAAGAAATGGTTTAAAAAAAAGTAAGATTGATTAATTTGCTGTGCTAATGTAAATCTAAGATATGGTTTCTTAAGTTTACATAGAAACAGTAAAGAGACTCACATTCCATAGCATGTGATTAATTCCACAGTCTATATTAATTAATCAAATGTAGTGTTTTTAATGCCTTTGCTTGGTTTGCATAATTATTCTATAGATAGTGGATTGTAATAATAGTTATGTATGATAGTGTAGACTCTTTTCCTTAAACTTCATTGTAATCTTCATATGGCTTTGGAATTCTCATTATCTGTTGTTTTCTAGATCTTATTTTCACATGAAAAGGAGTTACTTTTTTCCACTTTGAATATGAAAACTGAAGTTCTCAAGAAATGAAAATCTGCATTCAACCTCATACTTTTCCCCTGCAATTGTTTAGTATCATAAGCTTTACATCACAAGTGTCAAACTCGCGATGTCTCATGACATGTCGTGATGTATTGTGATTTTTTTTCCCATTGCCGGCAATGGGGTGGGCACAATTTTGGCATGATGCATCCAGTCCACAGGCCGGCAGTTTGATACCCCTGCTTTACATGCTTCTTTCTGCCTATTTTCATTTTCTGTCTAGCTAAGCAATTCATTTTGTTCTCTCTCAGTCACTGAACTGTTTAAATTATTGTGACCTCTGTTATGAAAAGGATAGGATGCTCTTGAAAGTTCTAAAATCTCATAGTTGTTTGATTAATTGTGGTAGGGCATCACATTATTAATATATAAGCTAGATGTACATCTCATTAGGAATTCTGCTTCCATCTTGTCTAGCAAGTGACTGGTGCCAAAGAAAGGCTTTAGAACTTTTTATGCCTAAGGCTACCATCAACATTTGTCAGGAAGAGGAAGGGAAAACAAGAGTAGGCAAGGCAAATAGAGACTTTACTGCACATGTCACTAAGGCTTGGATTTTTCTGTTTTTCTTTAGATCAGGCGTCTTCAAACTTGGCCCTCTTATGACTTGTGGACTTCAACTCCCAGAATTGGGAAGGAAATATGCTTAACAAATTAGTGGCCCTATGTGAAAAAAGAAATCTACAACCAACGGTGTCTTATAGCACATAATTATGCCTACTTCCTAATGGGCTCAAGCTACACCATTTGGTTTATAGTTGCTACTACAAAACATATTTCATTGCAGCTACTCTCATAGAATGTAGAGAAGGTATCTTACATAACCCAAGGTTAACCAAGAATGCAGCAATCATTGGAACTGTGTAAAGAAAAAGAATAAGGGCAATGAGCATTGCTATTTGTTTAGACATTGTAAAATGTGATTGGCTGGTATGTGCTTCCATGTGCTCTAGAAACTGAAATAATTGGGCTACTTTGGATATCCTGGTTTAATCAACATGTTATGCCAATGCTACTTGGTTCCCCCTTTTCTCTTTCTGTAACTATCTCATAGACCACCTGAACGCATCTATTACTGTGCCACATGTCTGTCATTCCATGCATGTTGTTAACCACAAGTCTTCTCCAGCTGGCAGAAAGGGATATGCTGTGGTTTCTATAGCAACATTTCTGCCTTGGGATCCATGAATAAGAGATCCCCAGTAATACATCCACCATGGTCTGCAACTCCTTTCTTGAAGCAGAAATTTGTTTTCTGTCATTCTATTTCTGAGATTTTTTTTCCTCCAGGAGGAGAAATAAATGACTTGTAAAAACACTATCCCCCAGATATCTACTTCCTAACCCCTCACTTGTTATAGTGAAACTTCACTAGAGGGAGAAAAAAAGGGAGCCTATTCATTATGGTTAAGGGTTGCATAGTATCTAGGACTGTATTACAATCTCAATGGTACCCTCCCCATCCAAACACAGCATTGGCAATGTGCCAAATGAAACATCTCATCAGCAAGATGGAATTTCTATAGCTTATGGTCATTCACCTTCAAACTTTTCATTTTCAGCCTATTATACTATAGAATAACTCAGAAGACAAATCTGACAGAGTTGAACTCTACTCTCTTCTCTCAAACAATTATCTGAAATACACACCAGGTCAGCACTATCATTCAGGTTTAAGTATTGGATAAAGTATGTTTTACCAGCAACTAACCTGTTTTTTAAGTTGGAGAAGCCACCATGACTGTCATCTTGACTTCCTCGATTAGGCTATAACCTGAAATGAAATGAAGCTTAGTCATCAGTCTACTTCTCTTTTTTTTTCATGGCCCAAGATGTGTTTTCCTATTTATTTAGAAACTTATATATCTGTCCATCGTATACACAATTATCTTATGCAGCTCACAATAATAATCAGTAAAAGCAGAATAAAACAAACCAAATCATATTTCTCTATCACAGCACTGCAATATTCCATAAGCTCTACACACCTTTATATTTGCTAGGTTAACTACTACTCTAGTTTCGATCCTGGACCAAGAGATGGGTCTTCACAGCCCTCTGGAAGCTAATAAGGTGACTTCTCTGAATCTCAAGGATGAGGCTGTTCCAAAGGGTAGGAGTGGCCATGTAAAAGTCATCTCGTTAACATCATACCAAATAGCAAAATTTAAGGGAAAGGCTCTGTAGTGTGCTCATTCCATCTAACCTGGTGGAATGGGCAGTCACCTCAGGGAGAGGCTGTTCCACAAACAACCAGGCCAGGTCCTATATATGTATGTATGTATGTATGTATGTATGTATGTATATGTATGTATGTGTATGTATATATGTATGTATGTATGTATGTAGGTCTTTGGTTATTCGGGTTTTCTCCCACGTAAAATTGGAAGTGTCTTGGCGACATTTCAACGAAGTCCCATTCGTCATCTTCAGGCTGGTGTTTTTGGCTTCGTGCTATTGTAGCATAAGACTACAATAATACAAAGGGATTTCTCCCCTCCTTTTATTATTATTTTGCTTAGTTCTTTGTTAATTTGTGTTTTTCTTTAACATTTAATAAAAGTTGGTTTAACAAAACACAAGCATTGAAAGTGGGATGCACTTGGCCCTAAGACCACTGAGAGGGGCAGTGTTTTTTTTCTGGAGCAAAATTTTGGCAGCAAGCCCACCAAGGATGAGTTCTTGAGCTCAAGTAACTGATGCAATCCTGGGTAATCCTCTGCTGGAGGCCTCAATGTGTGAGGAAACTGTTTTTTCTGCAGGTAGCAGGCAGGGCAGACAGATGGTATAGTCCAGGGGTAGGCAACCTTGGCTCTTTTATGACTCATGGACTTCAACTCCCAGAATTCCTGAGCCAGCTGTGCTCAGGAATTCTGGGAGTTGAAGTCCATGAGTCATAAAAGAGCCAAGGTTGCCTACGCCTGGTATAGTCAGTGCATTTTAACTTTCTCTCACCATCTAGTTGGGCCAAGCCTCTACTGGGGGGAGAGGGTAGAGTTGCATCTGAACAGATCAAGCTGACTGAATCAAGTTCAGACTGCTGGGCTATTTGGACTAGTATCTGTTCTGAGACAGAGGTCTTCCTAGTTCTTTTGAAGGAGAATTCAAGACACCGTAGGGCCGTCTAAATGCAAGGCAATATACTGATGATCTTGCCATAATGTGATCTTCTCACATAAAAGACAACTCACAATTCTTCCAATAAAAAAAAACAAAACTGAGAATGAGCGCCTATGAGATCAGTAGAAGAATAATCATTCATCAGCATCCCCTCCACTTCCCACCCCAAAAAAGCCCTTGAAAGCTGGTCTGGTGGGAATCTATTTAGCCACACTGAATAATTAGTTCTTGTCTAAAACAGATGCGATCTGTTGAGAGAGGATACTTTCTCAAAGCTGTGAAACTATGCATCATTTTTTTCAAGTAGCAGAATTGGATAGATTAATGTAAAAATAAATCACATGCAGATGAACTCTGTAGACATAGCCAGGAAATCAATACATTACAAGAATCATTTATTAGGAACACAAAGAAATTATGGTGAATAATATATTTATATTCCAAAACTCTGATACATTTATATAGCTAAAGGGTCCAAGTAAGACCGTCCTAAAGTATACCTCATAAACTGAAGCAAGGTGAGGCTTTATGTGGGGGGTTCCTTTTGAAGGGCAGGCAGCCCACCAGCCCCAGATGAAATGGTCACGGAGGGCAATGACCAGTGACCAGAGGGGAGCAGGCATGCCCTCTACAATATCAATTAAGTGATTGGAGTGGCAGCATTACCTACAATGAAATGAAGTTCCACAAGCATCACATGTAATGGTAGAAGTTATTTTTGATGAGAAGCAAGAAAAGATGGAAGGAAGTTGCCTTTGTGGTGCGCCAGGGGCAGGTTGAGGATAATGTCATAATGTTCATACCTCCACAAATGGTTCCAGGGGCATCTTTGTCCCTGAACAAGCAGGAAGTACTGACACACATCTTGACACAGCTGCTATAACCCTTTCATTCATATTGTTTTTAAGCCACTTAGAACAAGTGATTATCCTCTCTCAATATGGAATCCAGCCCTAGTGCTTCTTTTCCCTGTACTTTCCATGGTGTGGTTTTTTCCTTGTACTTTTTCACCTCAAAGCTGGGAATCTGTCGATTTTTGACAAAACTGACATCTTTACTCAGAAAGTCTGGTATTCAATTGAACTGCCAAATAATGATTTATGGTATAGCATGCTGTACAAACCAAGTAATTGGGAGCTTACTCAATAAACCAGAGCTCAGTGTAATATGCTGTCCCTCTTTGTGAGTGATAGACAATGCAGTGTTTTGTTAGAAGTAGG